GGACACCTCGAGTCCCTATATCTATAATCATCTTCGTCATCGATAGCAAAGACAGTGGGGGGAACACTGGTGCTCCACAGCTGTACAAACATTCCACCTTACTTTCATTGGAAAAAATAAAGCATAATGAATCAGGAATTAAAAACTTGGGGTAGCCTACAGCAAGCAAAATGGATGCCTACACCTCCGACACTCTGTCAGACTGTCTGGATAGAAACTGACAGCATGAACGTCACCGATATCGCTCGGCTGACCAAATTATTCCGATGTGCGTACATGTTTCGACACTCATTCGAACGGACACAGCGATAATTGGGTGGTCTACAACTTAGATGGCAAGTTACATAGATAGCACCCAGACATTTGTAGTCTCCTTCTCTGTCTGCAAGTTGAACCTAATCGGCAGGCTATTGAGCCATGCTGGACATCCAACCAATGGTTTCCCTAGTTTGGGGCCCGCATAAGCTCATGATGGCTGAATTTACATTACACCGCTCATGCGTGCAAACAAAATTGGCGCTGGTTGTGTCAGGGATGATGGGGCTGTTGGTGAGTAGTCATCTGCAGACAGAAATGTACATAAAACATTAATAACCAGTCACACAAAAAGTGCCGTATCATTGAAGGGGATCGGTGACATGTAAAATGCTGACCAGTGATATAGTTTGTCCAGCTCGATGGAAGCCAAAATAATCGAGAATTTAAACGCCACACTTTTCTTCATCACATGTTCTATCTGTAATCTGAGGTGCGGTTTTGGGATGCATGGACAATCTCACGTTAGCGGCACCGTCAAATACTATTTGCTGGGCATGCCACATACTGCGAAGTATCCATTAGTGGAACCATGGTGACTAGGCACAAGCGTAGATGTGCAAGACCAGGGGATTTTGAGCAGCGTACGTCTGCAGCAACGTGAGCAAGGAGTTCCAGAAGACAAAACAAACCTTGGGTCGAGTGTCCGCGGATGTCAATATAATCTGCTGACTATCACGACACATGTCCCCACTGTTACCCAAGGATTCACACTTATTAAGCGAATATCGCTAACTCTTCAGGAATACGCAAACAAGCGGACTGCAACTGGCCGCTGACTACCACAGGACTACCAATCCACAACTGATAGTTCTATCTGCAACAGATTCGACAAAACTCACGTGCTCCGAATCTGTAATCCAAGCATACGCGTATTCGTTTGCTAGACAAATATCGATTCGCTTGTCGTTACAAAAGGTAGCCCAGCTCTCTTCATGTACGTTGGCTGACGTCGTCGCAAAGACTGCAATTTTAGTGGCATTCAGACAACAAAAGTATAAATCAATATTAAAAGGGGTGTAACGATGAGGCAAATTATCGACGAGGTCACATTTCAACTCACAGAAATTGAGAAGATGCAAGAAGCCCAGATCAAATGCATTAATTAGAAGGTCGCTGAAACACGTTTACAGAACGCCATGGTTCTCGCTCTTCTTAGAGGCAATCAGGTAAGCACCGTCCTCGAACTTCCCACAACATTAATCACTTTCTGAAACCAGACTGGATGGAACTTGCCAAAAACTTTCATAAGTGTAACGTTTATCTGGATTCGGTTTAGTCAGCCCGTGAACATACGTAAATGTGTGATCTGTATTTTTCATGGTAAAACACTACTCAGGAGAGAACACTAAGGAAACTAATGAAAGTTGGTCGTGTCACAAGCATTAGACCTGTCGTTCACAAGGACGGTATCCACTTAGCAAATTGGATGCTGCACAGGGGCATCAAAATATCATGGGTGTTTTACCGGTTGCACAATGATTTCTCACACGCATATGAAACTTGTCGGGTAACAGAAGCGGCGGTAATCGGGGAACTCTAGATGTTGTGCAATCCAGGCTTCACGCTTCTCGCATATATCCGGGCACCAACTGCATGCAAGGGTCACGAAGAAGACGGGAATGTGCCAAGGTTGGATATTCCTTTGTTCGTACAGGCCAGTTTCTTNATCAACCGGTGACCTTCCGGCCAATGCTTAAATGATTTAATACGTTCAGCCACAAAGGACTCATCTGCAGTATGGTTGCTTTATCCTAGACGGCACACGTGGCCATGTATTAACTGGGACATCGAGTGTTAACTTCTCAGATGGAAGTTCCAGTCATCGTTTTAGTCCACACATCCTCCGAATTACTTGTCGCTTATACATAGAGGTTTGGACTCTTTTCGTATCATAGCACAGAAAGGTACAAATCGCAAGTCCTCCAACGCCATTTCATTAGCTACTTATTCAACTTCATCTGTTGACCTGAATCCTTGACAGTCACCTGTCGAAAGCAGTGAAATACTCCCACCATCTTGACAAATACACTCATTTACATCACAGTATGGTTTTTCGCAAAGACTCAACTGAATTTCTCCGCGACATTTTGTAACTTACCATATCACCGTACTTTATCACTTCACTATGCGTTGTCCTCTTTTTCACCTCCTCGTACTGTTGATCCAGTGTACGCTTTTTGATGTCATTCTGCGTGACAGTGAATTTTAGTGACAAGTAGAGCAAGGCGAAGCAGACTGATCAGCTTGCGTAATGTTTAGAGGGATGCAATGTGAGCGAAAACGTGAAACCAAATCTAGAGGTAAGACAATTCAGTTATGGAACAATAAACTACTGGTAAAGTATTGATCCCTTCATGTTCCTTGTTCTTGAATAAAAAATCACATGTGGACACCTCGAGTCCCTATATCTATAATCATCTTCGTCATCGATAGCAAAGACAGTGGGGGGAACACTGGTGCTCCACAGCTGTACAAACATTCCACCTTACTTTCATTGGAAAAAATAAAGCATAATGAATCAGGAATTAAAAACTTGGGGTAGCCTACAGCAAGCAAAATGGATGCCTACACCTCCGACACTCTGTCAGACTGTCTGGATAGAAACTGACAGCATGAACGTCACCGATATCGCTCGGCTGACCAAATTATTCCGATGTGCGTACATGTTTCGACACTCATTCGAACGGACACAGCGATAATTGGGTGGTCTACAACTTAGATGGCAAGTTACATAGATAGCACCCAGACATTTGTAGTCTCCTTCTCTGTCTGCAAGTTGAACCTAATCGGCAGGCTATTGAGCCATGCTGGACATCCAACCAATGGTTTCCCTAGTTTGGGGCCCGCATAAGCTCATGATGGCTGAATTTACATTACACCGCTCATGCGTGCAAACAAAATTGGCGCTGGTTGTGTCAGGGATGATGGGGCTGTTGGTGAGTAGTCATCTGCAGACAGAAATGTACATAAAACATTAATAACCAGTCACACAAAAAGTGCCGTATCATTGAAGGGGATCGGTGACATGTAAAATGCTGACCAGTGATACAGTTTGTCCAGCTCGATGGAAGCCAAAATAATCCAGAATTTAAACGCCACACTTTTCTTCATCACATGTTCTATCTGTAATCTGAGGTGCGGTTTTGGGATGCATGGACAATCTCACGTTAGCGGCACCGTCAAATACTATTTGCTGGGCATGCCACATACTGCGAAGTATCCATTAGTGGAACCATGGTGACTAGGCACAAGCGTAGATGTGCAAGACCAGGGGATTTTGAGCAGCGTACGTCTGCAGCAACGTGAGCAAGGAGTTCCAGAAGACAAAACAAACCTTGGGTCGAGTGTCCGCGGATGTCAATATAATCTGCTGACTATCACGACACATGTCCCCACTGTTACTCAAGGACACTCACTTATTAAGCGAATATCGCTAACTCTTCAGGAATACGCAAACAAGCGGACTGCAACTGGCCGCTGAGTACCACAGGACAATCCACAACCTGTCACCCAAGGATTCACACTTATTAAGCGAATATCGCTAACTCTTCAGGAATACGCAAACAAGCGGACTGCAACTGGCCGCTGACTACCACAGGACTACCAATCCACAACTGATAGTTCTATCTGCAACAGATTCGACAAAACTCACGTGCTCCGAATCTGTAATCCAAGCATACGCGTATTCGTTTGCTAGACAAATATCGATTCGCTTGTCGTTACAAAAGGTAGCCCAGCTCTCTTCATGTACGTTGGCTGACGTCGTCGCAAAGACTGCAATTTTAGTGGCATTCAGACAACAAAAGTATAAATCAATATTAAAAGGGGTGTAACGATGAGGCAAATTATCGACGAGGTCACATTTCAACTCACAGAAATTGAGAAGATGCAAGAAGCCCAGATCAAATGCATTAATTAGAAGGTCGCTGAAACACGTTTACAGAACGCCATGGTTCTCGCTCTTCTTAGAGGCAATCAGGTAAGCACCGTCCTCGAACTTCCCACAACATTAATCACTTTCTGAAACCAGACTGGAAGGAACTTGCCAAAAACTTTCATAAATGTAACGTTTATCTGGATTCGGTTTAGTCAGCCCGTGAACATACGTAAATGTGTGATCTGTATTTTTCATGGTAAAACACTACTCAGGAGAGAACACTAAGGAAACTAATGAAAGTTGGTCGTGTCACAAGCATTAGACCTGTCGTTCACAAGGACGGTATCCACTTAGCAAATTGGATGCTGCACAGGGGCATCAAAATATCCTGGGTGTTTTACCGGTTGCACAATGATTTCTCACACGCATATGAAACTTGTCGGGTAACAGAAGCGGCGTTAATCGGGGAACTCTAGATGTTGTGCAATCCAGGCTTCACGCTTCTCGCATATATCCGGGCACCACCTGCATGCAAGGGTCACGAAGAAGACGGGAATGTGCCAAGGTTGGATATTCCTTTGTTCGTACAGGCCAGTTTCTTGTTTTAACCATATATGAAGTACATTCTGGATGCTATTGCACAGGACCTCTCCGACGGCGAGCCAAAAAATCACAATACTTACTTCCCATATTTGGAGGAAGCATAACACCAAACATCAAGCCGGAGTGGCAAGCTCCCATATGCAGCACCAATTGTTTGTACATTTTTTCCGAATGCATGTAGGTTATCATTCAACTTCCTGGCCTACAGCTGTCACAAATCAAGAATGAAAATTTTCGTAAGCTCGAGATAACTGAGGAATTAAACCTGAAATTACGGATCAAAGTGCCGTGTTTTGCAACCCAGCTTCAGCAATTCGATTGCGACAGTATATGCTTTGGAATGGGTAATGTTGCTGCATGATTATTGAGTTTTTAAAAAACACTGTGCACCAGGATTAGCTTAAGGGCTATGTTTGAAAGCGTTTTACTAAATCCGTCTTTGGTTATTAAGGACTACCCTGTTAAACGTCCTTCGTTTACCCGGTACATCAGTGTACCCATATCCTCTGTAGTGTCAGCTACGCTGCTGACAAGAACAAAAACTCACTTGAAAGTGGCGCGCAAAGACCAGTGTTAGAGCGATTAAACTTGTGATTACAAAATCGGAATAATTAATGGTCAAACCAAAGTCGCGAGAATGTTTTAGCCCTAATCATGCTTGACGGAAATTTTGAGAGATTTCCGTTTGATGGAAAACTTCAAAATGTCGTCACGCTACCAACGGATTATAAGTAGTTCAGAAGGAACGATGATTCACACGACGAATGGACTTCCTTGTAAAAAGTTGATTGTCAACTGTGATGTTGATCACTTGATTGGGGAATGATAGACGTTATATCCAGGTCACACCATTGCTGATTCCCAATGAGGATTGAACATTTGCACATTGATTCCCGGCTTTTCTTCACAGACTGCCGCCCGATAAAGAAATACAAAAAACTCTTCACACTACCTACGATTCCCTCTGCATCTCTAGGATTAAAAAAGACCATACTGTCATGTCAAAAATATTCCGTATCACGCACGCCGCATGAAAGACCGTAGACAGCTAACCTTTCTGTTTGTGCTATATTCATTATTTTATGAAGAACAATTGATGATGATGCCTCAACATAAGCTTATCTTGGCCTCATCTACACGTTCGCAGTTTAGCTCGCTACTGAAAATCTCTGTTCTATAAACGGGGTTATCAAAAATGGCGAAACTTACCACATCTCCTCGTAATACAATAAAGGGAACCCCGCCATGGCCAGAGAAGAAGATGAAAACGTAATCATCAGGACCGCTGTAAGCGAGCAGGTAAGTTAAGGATACCTTGAAGATAAGGTTATCGGATTGCCTTCCCAGGCATATGATAGCGCAGCAAAAAGGCCACACAATTGAAAGAATAGTGGACGCGCATGAAATTGAACGACTTCTTGGAACTTCACTTAGATTATGTACACACCCGAAAATGATAAAAAAAATACACATTTTGCAAAGCCCAAAACTCTGACCTGAAACGCCGAATATCTAGCTATTATCAACAATTGCCTTAAGAATATCAACTTCCGCGCAAACTTACCTTTTCAGCACCTTTTTCCCTTTTTTTTCAAGCTCTTTATCGCCTTTCAGTACCTTCAAGAAGTTATCCAGTGTGACATCCTGAAACAAATGGACCCACGTCAACTATTTCTGGGACGACGGTGCTCTACAGGCTAATTTTATTCACAGTGGCCATCGATGTGTGCTGTGCCAAATAATTGGAACCTATGATCTGCTCTCCATATTCACTCAGGTTATTTTCACGACCTTCGCCAAAAGATGGGAAGAAGTTGAGTTGATTCTTGTTGTGTTTGCCGAGCATGGAATTTGGTGGGCTTTTCAAACCGAGTGTTTGTAGTTGATACAAACAGGAGTTACTTGGAAGCAGAACTAAGTTACCCTTGTCTACCTCAGTAGCTAAAGAACGAAATACATGTGAAAACTAGCCGCGTTTTGCGGTGAGTGCTACTCATCAGTACCCAACTAAATCCCAATATCGTGTAATTGCACCTTGTGTTTCACAGTGGAAAAATTCGTGTGATTGTTGCGCAGTGACTTACATTTCCGCGGTAGTCAATTACCACACCCTTGTAGATATCCTCGTGCTCGTAGTCATGGAACACTTGGCCTGGAAACGGATTTCTGAAATAAAATGAAGAACAGGTGCAGTGAAATTCTCGGAAGCCATTGACATTTAGTTCAAATAAAAAGAAAACAGTTGCTCGAAAATTCTATTGGATATTTGCTTCCGGTCTTGTTTTAGAATAAACCTTCACGACGATGAGTGTAACTTGCGCTACAATTACGATTGAGGCTAAATCAACGTTCTTCATCGCAACACAGACGTATATATTTCACGACGATTTTTGTGGGTAGACAACACAGAACATTACAAAGTTTTTGTGGAAAGGTAATTATTTTACTTGAATATTCAGCCAACCACCAGTCCTTGAACGCAATAATATCGGGCAATAAATGACTTCCGATTAGTATAGCCTTCAAACAAGAACCAACCTTTCATTCTTTTCACCAGTTCATGCCACTAATCCTAGCAATCTGCTGTATTAAAAATGCCTTGATTACTGGATTATGTGCTTTAAGCTTGTTCCAAATAATCAACTAGCTGATGCATTCAAACGACATCTTTTTATCTATGCCACTATTTTCAGATTACTGACGAATGGAGGATAGTGGAAAATTGCTATTTATCAGCGAGGATACGCTATACTGGCAGCATTTCAATGTGGTCCTCGATAACTCAGGATTAGATGGCGTTTTCACTCATGGAGTAACACGAAAGGAAATAATGGGATATGAGATCTAAAGTGACGCACGAAACCACATAAATTTCTGCTAGCGGACTTCATTCATACATGATATCCATGAGAAAAACTCCTCAAAACTGGAACGTTTCAAAGCCAAAGAAAGAAACCCGTTTTCTACAGTCTAGAGGCTATCTATCTAGATGATATCAAAAAATGTTTGTACCCAGTATTTACTTGGGATTGCTTGCAACGTCGTCGGAGGCGAAGGTAATTATATTCTTCATTGGAATTTTGTTTGCACGCAAGATTTGATACGCATGGAATACATCCGCCTGAATAGCGATACAAGTAAATTGGTTAATGAAGTATAACAAATGCATGCAGAGTGTTTAAGATCATCCACTCCAGAATACCTGTGTAAACCCAGATCAAGCTATCGTTCATTGCTGATTTTGTTGCACTATTGCTGAAATTGGATTAGGAGGACACCTCAGTTAATGACTGAGAACTTTTCGAAACCATATTTAAAACAAGACTGCCAGAACCAATATTGCCATCCCTCCCGAACAAGGCGATTCCGATGTTCATTTCTACTAAAAAGTGCTGCCTGCAAGATGCTGAGCACCACGCCGATGAAATGGTGAAACAAACTGAATGCAAGTACTGGATCTCGGCCAACACTCTCAATTCCTTCAAAATTTGGACGAGTTTTCTTCACGGTAGCGGGCGCAATACCAATCAACGTACGGTGCCTTCTAGTAAGAAAACAACACCTGCATGGTTTGCGAATGTTTGTGGGGTTATGATGTCGAGGAAGCAGGAAAATCTTGCGTTATACTTCTCTACGCCAGTCAGTACACGCGAAATCCCAAAGAGATCTTCCGTGACCAATATCTAGATTAAATAGTTTCAAAAATTAATCTAGTGATTAAATGCAGCTCCACAACTGGAGCCATGACATCGCACGTGGAACCTCCGAAGGCTTTAGTAATCATCGGTTGCATGTTCTACTTTGGGATTTATCAAGCTGATGGTCCTGGCCAACTCAAAATCGCACCAAGTAAACATGGCAGCGAGATACTTTGTCGTTGCTTGTCTACGTGGTTTGCTTTCCCCAGGAGGAAGAGACAGTTTTAACAAACCGAGTGTATTCGATGAGAACCCAGGGGAATATATCTGTCGCCTAGGATTCTTTGACTTCCGTTGTGACAAGATTGTATCCTGTGCAAACTTTGTTTTTAAACCAGGGCACTAGACCAAGAAGAGGCAATCCAGGCTTCGAAAAGGGCTACAAATTTCGTTGTTTCAGAACGATGATATGCGAAAACAATTAATCGCACTATTGTTTAAAAGACGCAATAAACATGTATATAATTATAGGCACATGATTTCCACATACCCAGAGTACCCAAGATTAACTTGATCGCGTCGTAAAAAGTTGCTCATGCGCCCAAGTTTTCACACCAGTGTGCGCAGATCGGAGATTTCTGGTATATTTTAGGACAAATGTGGATCAGTTAATCTAGTACCTATGCGCTAATGACAATACTGAGAAGCAGACTGAGTCCGGAAAACGGCTCCAAGCAGCACCTGGCTTGGTTCCATGGAGATATTGATAAGATATTTTGTACTGAAAACTACCTAGTAAATTTTGTTTTTTCAGCAGTTCAGCTTAGAATGTGGCGAATCAATTGGACTCATAACTATTCTAAATCTAGGTATTCACTCTCTGCGAAGACAGATTGTTACATGACGCTTCAGGTTGATATAAATCGGTGACTGCGAACGTCACACGAAGCTTTGAACCGGGGAATTTACTTTTATCTATGGGTTTAGTTTACATAAGATATCAGGTGCCTGAAAGTACAATAGTGGATGGGCTCTCTCAAACCAGTAGAATATTGCTCAGATATTTCACCAGTATTTGTAATCGTCATTTTAAATTTGCGGAATCGGGGGTGCGCGTAGCAAGATTTCCTTTCCTATCTTGATAGGTAAATGATGATACGTATTTACAAGGCATTTGATCCGAAAGTATATGGAAGGTCTAATAGAAGTTCTTGTTCTGATGAAACTACACATTAGAAGTTAAAACGCCCACCTGCAAATGGTAGCCTATTTGTATAGCTGGCGTTTGAAATGTGACTTTAATCTACGTTGATCTTCCTACTTAGAGTAAAAACAGGACCCATCAATTCGCTGTGCAATATTCACTAACGTTCTCACGTCCAATGCCCCTGCTCTACATTTGAAGATAATCTACTTAAATTCAAAGTGCCAAAATGGCAGTTTCCATATTGAGCACATAGTGATTATAGCAATAATGCAGACGCAGCACAGTTTTGATATGCATCCGTCATATTGCCCGAGGGAAGAACATGGGCTCAGCAATCGCCGGATCGCGCAAGTCTGGACAGGACTAGTCGAGATGCCGAAGCTGGATTCGAAGCACAGTCAGTGATTTCTAGCTCCCAAGCTAACTCGGACGTCCGAAAGAAATTTCCTACAGATGAAGTTTAACCTTTGTGTTAAGGTTTAGTTTGCTAGGCGAAATATTATTACAAGTACATTACCACACAAAATGCTAACTTTTTCCTCCTGTTCCCATTGTGTAAAAGGGTATCGCGTATTTCTTCTATCCGCCTAATGCCGACGTCCGCTGGGCTTGTTATTGATCTGAACGTCATCCAGTAATTGACATTCATCAAACAGCCAAACGCAACCAAATGATCGTCGTGGAAGATCATCCTCACCACGAAAGGCAGTGACATCAATTGAACGCCATATCCGGCAGTGCCTCCTACTTGAGTGACCGTCGAAAAATAATTTACGAAAATGCGAGCATTGCGAAATTTTATAGGGCTTCGAACAAACAGCCCCATTTCAAAAAGTTTACACAAAAGTTATCTATATTCAATCCAGTGTTTCAGGAAAACCTGGATGTGTATCTACAAGTCGGTTGTCGACACAACTTACAGATAATGAGTTGCTCGGAGTTTTTTCATGTGGCGATGGAAGTATCGCACTTTCCGTCAAAGACTTCAGCTGTGAAAATCTGTGGCGTTCTATTACCGGGTAGACGCGTTAGAATGCGGTTGGTTTGTCCGCGGTTTTCCTTACGTCCAAACTAAAATTTCATACCACCTTGCTCTCCTTAATCAACATGTAAGAGTGGATCTCCCATGTTGCGTTATGGGTTCCGATTTTGATGGACCTGATTCGTTCACGAGGCTCACTGTAAATGTGCCTTTGTTATCGATTTTCGGCCGGTTGCAATGTGACAACGCGAACGAAGACGAGCTCACATGTGAAATCGTACTGGTTTTTTCTTGCATCGCAGCTCCCTCAAGTGGTGTGAGCAGATTTCTCTAGTTTGCATCATCTGTGGTCACCCACTCTCTCCTGCCCCATACATTGTACAGTGGTTTGACAGTGAAACGGTAGACAAAATTCATTGCACTGATAAAATTCAGTGACAACCTGAATCACGAAACGCTATGATTATAGACGCGTTTTTGTTTGGTGGCAGAACTTGTTCCAAACAAGGTCCACGTTTATTTTACCAGCAAAACCATCCTCTTAAGGTCGATTTTGCCACATCGCCTCATCCGGGCCTAGCAACAGGAGGCGGGATTCCAGTCTGCCAGATATTGTGTTGACCCAGCTTAAAAGTTCGTGAAGTGTCAGAACGACGGCATGCGTGCACACTGAATTTTACTACTGGATACAGACACATTCGATATATGTAACCGTTTTGCATATGGTTTTCCTATAACCGAATGCAAATAGAGCATGATTGGACGGGTGAATTTAAGCAGATTGGTGTTCTATATGTTTCTTCCAAAAAACACTACTTGATCTTGTCAAGTAGTGCAGAAATACTTCCTCATGTTGCATGGTGATTACGGTGCTCGCGAAAATGGTCTGTTTGACATAACTACCAATGTCGCTGCAATGCCAGTGATCAATTTGAGATTTGCGGACCCGGTTCTTTCAGCAGGTCATCATAGGCTAGGGTACTGCGGATTTTATGAGAGCGTCTCTAATATGATAAACATACGAGGTAATGTTAGATGACTTGTGACGGCTTGAAGATCACTGAATTCCTAGAATGTTTTTAGTTTGTGCAAGGACATACCTTCTGCTCGCAGACAGGGATTCCACGTAACATAACGAAACATTAAACACTGACGGGTGACGTTGTTGGTCCTTGAATAAGGTGTATCGTGGTATGCATCTCAATATCATATGAATTATATAGGTCCGTGGAATCGGCCCCACACGAAATAAAATGTCGTAGCACGACAAGCAAAATGCCTTCGAATACAAACGCAGACGAAGAATGTGTACCCATCAGTTGTGGTTTTGAGTAACCGTCTTTTTAAGTGAAACCTCGCGGGCAATAGATAACTAAGTAGAACAAACTCTTTGGAGGACCATTGTCGGATATTTCTCCCTTCGAAAATAATTTCGTGCAGACTTAAGAAAAAACTGAGATTCAAAACAATAACAACACCAACTGAGGCATACTTGATATCGATAATTTATCCAGGAGTCGGAACCAGCGGCAAGGACAACCCAGTTATTTGACGGCTCGTTGTTTACTACGGATGACCAATTGTGAACACCGGCGGCTTCCAACCAGGCAATATGGTCGATGCAGAACAAGAATGATATAAGCAGCGGAAAACGATGCATTACGCGCCGGCTTACTTGAAGCCTCATGAAGCTGGAATTTTATACCGTGCGCCTCCTCTGAGTCGAACTTTGCCTCACCCATCTGTGGCGTTAGTGTGAAAAAGCTATCCGCAAAAAATCTAAGAGCAATGTGGTACAAAGTATCTGCCAACCAGGATATTGTCGGCAAAGTTGATCAGCTTGTTCAATGGCTGATCATTTGCGCAAACCTCTCACGTCAGTGTGCGCAGATTGGTGATTTGTGGTATTATTTAGGACAAATGTGGATCAGTTAATCTAGTACCTATTCGCTAATGACAATACTGCGAAGCAGACTGAGTCCGGAAAACGGCTCCAAGCAGCACCTGGCTTGGTTCCATGGAGATATTGATAAGATATTTTGTACTGAAAACTACCTAGTAAATTTTGTTTTTTCAGCAGTTCAGCTTAGAATGTGGCGAATCAATTGGACTCATAACTATTCTAAATCTAGGTATTCACTCTCTGCGAAGACAGATTGTTACATGACGCTTCAGGTTGATATAAATCGGTGACTGCGAACGTCACACGAAGCTTTGAACCGGGGAATTTACTTTTCTCAATGGTTTTATTTTGCATAAAATTGTGGACGCATGTTACACGTGATGAGGTTCTGGGAGTCTTCTCATTTGGCGGGTGTCATGTATCGCATCTTCTGTCAAAGTCTTGAGCTTTCGAACTTAGCGGCATTCCCTAACTTGGAGGCGTGTTGGAACGTGGTAGGTTCGTCCTCGTTTGTACGTGCGTCTACGCAAAATCTTTATCAGCCGTTTTTTAAATGAAAATCTATTTCTCATTTTGAAGGTCATCGTTCGTTTTCCCGTGCCGCTTATATTGTCCTCTTGGTGGTCGTTGAGTTTTTCGCTGAGCATTTAAATTTGATTGGAGAGTTTTCATCACCAATCACTGCGGCCTTCTTCGCCCCACACTAAAGCATCAATGATGTCACCTGTATTGATAATGAAATTTTTGCAACCAAGTTGTCCCGCTCCGCAAACGCGCCAGCGACCATCGTCGACGCTACCGTTCATATTTACAGAAGAATATATCCACGTACAAAATTGGAATTTCCTGCAGCATTATGGCCGAAAATGTTTGGAGTGAATTTAGTGCGTTTCAATTTAGATAACAGGAAAACGCATAACTGCACGGTTTCCAAAGCACTTCAGAAGGAGCACGTCCACTTCGTTTAACCAGTCCCTAGTGGATATATAGGTCGGAATTAATTTTCCATAATTTCGTATTGGATGCAACAGCCCAGCATCTACAAAGTTCACATAGACTGCCAACGCTGGAAGAAGTCGCTTTTTGCAGAGCAGTCATCAGTCAGTTGCAGGCGCATTTCATGATGATTCCACCGGTTACTACGGAGGAATTTATATGACAGCGTCGGGATACCAGTTCACTGTCATTCTCCCCATCATATGCAGAGCATTTTGAAAGCCTGTCAGGCATCTAGCACAAGTGCAGACCCGAGCTTCCACTGCTACTGGCATCGATGGATTTTCTAGGCATTATTCGCCTAAATCCCGTCCGCTTTTATCATTCACAACTCGTTTTATCGCAGTAGGTATGACATTTGACATTCTCAAATTTGCCCCACGCAATATATCCAGTGGAGTTCGGTTATAACTTGACTAATCCATCAGTAAGAGAAATTGATAATCATTTCCCATATTAAACACGAATGCTGGGTTAAATTTCCCCGAAATCCCCGGGCATTTACATAACCGAAATCCACGGGTAGGTCAACTTGGCATTCAGTGTTAGATTTTAATTCGACTTGGACCTTCCACGGATGTTTAAACTGCTTTTGGGTTCCACGACAGTGTAGACAAAGATGCAGTCGACTATAAGTTGCTAGCCTGAGGAAACGTATGAACATATGTTCGAGATTCCTCCTTGGAAGTAAAGGCCTTCTGCTGTATATAAGCCGAGCCGCACGGTGAACTCGTTTCCTGCTAAATGGGAATCTTCAGCAGTGCGCATCTTACGAAAATGCAGGCGGCCTCGAACCTAAAACATTACGGCGGCTAGGAAGCATTGTGTTTGGTTGTCACTAATGTTTAACATGGCACCGCTCATCCAGTGACAATAAACCACACCACATTTTCACGTTTTTCGATCGGCTCCTCGAGCGGCCACATAGAACCTTCGCAATTCAGTGAATTTATTCATCTCCTGACCTGTCACTGAAGCTAATCTACGCAGAAGGATATAGGGGGAGTGTAAAACAGTTTGATCCTATTTATGAATCATCAAAAATGCGCACCTCACAAATCCTGGATAGTGTTAGTTTAAAGTTGCCCACTACTGCGATGGGCGTTGAAAAAAAAATACCTCCACTTAATCAGGGCATCACGCTTTGACGACTAAATCTATCGACAGAGGGACATTATCCCGACAAGCTGTACTAATAGTGCAATTTTGTAGGTTTATTCTTGTTTTCTAACAACTTAGCTAATGCTGACTGGCAGAAATGACTTCGCAGACAACTCACTATTAAGGGTAAATTACCCGGCAGTGCCTGGTTGTCTGCCTAACGCAAACTGCCACCTAAATTTATTCTTCTGAAAATCATTATGGGTAAGTAGAACATCGCCGTCCATTTCATCGATTTCTCTGAATTTTTCAAACGCTGCCTTAAAACTCGTGCAATGAACACGTACAACCGAACTCTTTGATGAAACAACATTCATGTTTTAGCAATAGGTAGCAACCTGGGTTCAGAAGGTGGTAATATCTTCACACTGTTCAAGGTGAGTTGTTAAAATCATGGTCAGTCAGGGGATAACAGGAAATCCACGAACAAATCCCATCGCCGTCACGCTTTTCCGGCATCTGCTTGATTATTACTGCCCATGTTCCGCGCAATCATCAGACGCTATACTTGGTTGAAGTATACTGCTTGAAGTTTTATTCCTCTGTGATTCTGTACGTTGATCGGAAGCCATTCATCCATCTACCTACCAATCTCACTCGGGAAAGGTCATAAGCACTACGTTTATTTCGGAATGAACGATTCCAACATTGGATCACTCTCACGGCCTAATGAAATGCCGTTGAGCGCCGTGACCTACTGTGTCACTAAAACTTCCAACGTGACTTTTCTGCGATAACGCGGCGGGCAAAATTTAGCTTAAAGCACTGGTGTTGTCGTGTTGTCTTCCCGGTTACCCGTACTTTTGTGCGGTAGCACGATATGGCTTAACGCAAATTATTCTTCTGAACATTATCACAGAGCACTGGTGTTCAACAAATCGCTAGTATTATAATATAAGTTTGCTCTTTCATGCCGGCGGAGGAATTTAAATTTAAATTTAAAATTAAAATTGACTAAGGTTTTGCTGATCGGACCGAAGAACAGTGTAATTTATACTGCCGGTTGTACTCGCTAGTACATGAACCAGTGTACGTTCTCGATTTTGTTGAACTTTAGCTGCTGAAACTTGCGAAAATTCCTTTGATGTTTAAACCATGCTTCCCAAAATATGGGGCCATGAATTGTGCGAACTCATAGTATCATTATGCTTGACCGAAACAAGACTTGTCTTCACACCATCTGCTTCTTGCAAAGTAAAATACGTAGTTCACTACCGATATGGGTCTAAGTTTGCCATGCGTATTAATGGGTCTGCATCGTTTAACTCAGTTACCTAATTCACAGAACACTTCGTCACGTAATAAAGATCAAACATGAATCGCACCACAAGGGGTATTCCCACTGTTCATAGGGAGTGTTTACATCCGTATTACAGCGTAATTTCGCTTTGTTTAGCGTAACAGAACTCTCTCATTTGAATGAATTTTTCATCCTGTCATTGAAAATCATATATGTTGAAAAATCGGGAAGCAGTGTGTAGCTATCTCCTTTTTAATGGGAGTCAGCAGGAGTGCGCATCTCAGTCAAGTATGGAGTTACTCACCGGCATCCATCCTGACAATGGGTAAACGCTCAACTGTTCAGCCACAAGAGACTGATCAGTAGTCTGATTGGATTTCACTTAGTAAACAGCGTCTGTTATCGTTCAATCAGTCTGAACCACATCACAAGTCTACGGATTGACGGCCTGCTCGAATGTTAATTTCTCAGATGGAAGTTTCAGTCAGTTTCTCTTGCAGCATAGCACAGATCGTGCAAAACACAACTCGCCCAATGCCACAGCTTGGTTATCCAAAAGAATGCAACTAGCTAGACCTGGATATCTAAGTGCCCTGACCAGCCAACTTGCCTACCTTGGAATATACATCCTGACCTTTCTAACCAAATATAATCATCCTTGACATAATCTTTCAAAGTTAACGAAATACAACTGGCATCCCAAGAAATACGCCCATTTTGAAAACAGACTGATTTTTCACAAGTGACGAAGCTATATCCCCGTGGTCTTTTTTGACTCGCTGTATCGTCTTTTCATCACGTGACATTTTTGTACTTATCTTCAATCCCTGGTACTGTTGCTACAGTGAACGCTATTTAGGTCCTCCTGCGCGCCGGAGGGAGATGCTAATAGAAAGGGATTAAGTGTAGCAGACAAATCAGCTTACGCAATTTTATGAAACATAGAAACAGAATATTAGTCTCCTACGTGCAGCATCATTTTCCTGAACATATTTCTGAATGCATGAAGACGAGCGTATCGTTCAACTTCCTGGCATGGAGTGGTAAAAAGACATGGAGAATTGTTTTTGTGAGCTCAATGAGCGCACTGATATAACCTTGATCGTACGGTCCGGAGATTTCGGTTTTCGAAACCGACTTTAGCATTTCGACGGCTGCTGTAAATTAGCATTTTCTTGCTTTCATGATTTGTTGGGGTAGGGGAGCAGCAAGGTATGCGCCGATATTCCAGGTGAACGAGCACTGATTTCTTCGGAAGCACTGTCCAGCAGGATGAGCTGGAGAACAATGTTTGATTGCGTTTCGCTTAGTACTCCTGTCACTGCTGACAGTAATGTAAAAGTCGTTTCGAAAGAGCGCG